ATAGAATAATGACAGCATCTTACAGTAATGGGACAAGTATTATACATAATGAATACATAAAAAACAGTAGAATAGACAACTAATAAAGTATTTGAATATATAGCCAACTGAACTTCTCACTTATTTATTGACACAGCGAAAGGCTAGTATACTGTGCACTTGCACTAGGGTGATCAACAGTGATTGCCAGCAATGTTTTACCTCAGAATCATATTATAAAAGTTCTGTAACCTAAATCATGCCTTAAAAATTATTTGAATTCAATTTGAAGTTCTTTAGTAATGGCATCACAGCACAGTTTGAAAATCTCCTGGAAGCTTATAATTTTTTTTGTGTGAGAACCTCCCCCCTTTTTTTTTGTATTTCAGGGTTGGCAGATATTAAAGTTTAAGATTGTTTGTGCATGTATGTGATACCACATTCAGATATTTTTGTTATTATTACAATTTATACTAAATGAGAAAAAATAGGGTAAGGTTGCTCAATTCATACCTGTGCTTAAGTCGTACCTGCTCTGTATTTGGAGGGTTATGCCTGCTACAGCTGTAGTGGTGCCATGATAGGATGTAGATGGCGCCACATGCAGTCTGAACGTTTTATTATGATTCATCACGCTTTCTACTAAGAGATATTCATATTAAGAAGTCTGTCATTGTTTTTGTATAATATTTGACATATTTGTGATAATTAATCTTGTAAGTATTTATTGTTTTTGGAGCTTTGTAGATAAAAGTGTAAGTTTTGTAACTATTATAGAATCATTTGGGTGAAATTAACATGCATTACAATCAATCAGTGTGAGGTTATATTAATATTAATAATGACTTACGTAGTGTTCTTAGTCGTACTTGTGCGAGACGAATAAGAATTTCTAAAGCCTAAGTCGTACCAGCCTAAGTCGTACCGGGTATGACTTTAGAAATTCTTATTTTGACCAATTTTTTACTTTCTTCTTTCTTTTCTGTTTTTGATTTTAGATTTTTTTTTTTTTTATTTGATAGGCCATTATGTCAAAACGAGTTTGTAATCATTGGAAAAAGGAAGACATGGAAAAAGCGTTAACTAAATTATCACAAGGTGTTATTGGATTTAATGAAGCTCATAGAAAATATGGGATCCCAAAACCAATGCTATAACATCATTTTCGAGGATTAAATAGGCATGTCAAATTTGGAAGGCCCAAGGATTTGAGCAATACTATGGAACGGAAGTTGGTTTCGCACATACTCAAGTTAGAAGCTACCTTTTTTGGGCTTACTGTAACCGAGCTAAAAAAACTTGCCTATCAGCTTGCTGAAAAATATAATTTACCACACCGTTTTAACAGAGAAAAAGAAATTGAATGGAAGAAGTGGTACTATAAATTTATGAAAGATAATTCTTGCTTATCCTTATGTATTCCAGAAGCAACCTCAGTGGCCAGAGCTAAAGCTTTCAATAAAGAATTAGTTTATAAATTCTTTGATAAATATGAATCAATATTAGATAAATATAGTTTCAATGCAAACCAGATTTATAATGTTGATGAAACAGGATTATCTACTGTACACAAACCATCTAAAATAATTGCTGAAAAAGGCAAACATCAAGATGGGGCAATTACAAGTGGTGAAAGGGGTGTGACCACTACATGTATATGTTGTATGAATGCCATAGGCAAATTCATGCTGCTTATGGTAATATTTAAACATGCACAGATGAACGATTGCTTAAAAAAAGGAACACCACCAGGAATGGTGTTCGAATGTTCTAAAAACAGAGGGATAACATCAGAGCTTTTTGTTGAATGGTTAAAGTATTTCATCAAATACATCAAGTTGGGAAAAAGTAATGAAAAGAAATTACTACTTCTTTTGGATAAGCACTCCACGTATACAAAAAATATCGAAGCTTATCTATCTAGAGTGTGAATATGGCATTATTATGCTATCTTTTCCTGCACACACAACACATTGTCTTCAAACTTTGGACAAATCTTTTTTCAAATCTCTCAAAGCCAATTATAATGAAGCATCATCTACTTGGTTAAGAACAAATCCGGGCAACATAATTAAACAAAGTACTGTGTCAGAACTATTGGGGATTGCATACACAAAATCTGTTCGTATGGATATTGTATTGAATGGCTTTAAATCTACCGGTGTTTGGCCATGCAACAGACTTGAATTTCAAGATGAAGATTTTTACATTACAATGGAAGATTCAATAATTGAAGAGACTTTGCACACAAATGCAGATCAAGTTGTGAGTAACAAAACACATCCAGTACAAGAAACAACACAAAACCCAAGAAGAAGAAGCAACCGTGGATCTTATCACAATTCCTTCCACTTCAAACCATATAAAACAGCAGTTAGATACGTTATGTCCGATTCCAAGTATAATAACCCCAGCAGTCGAAATAAAGTTAAGTGTGAATAAAGAAAATGTAAAAAATGCAATTAAGAAAAAGAAAGATGCAATCATTAAAAAGGAAACAACATTACAGATTAAAAAAGAAGAAAAGGCAATACAACTATAGACGAAGATGATTGGTTTTGTTCTCTTTGTGCAGAAGATTGAAAGGAAAATATGATTCAGTGCTTGAAATGTAAAACATGGGTGCACATTCAATGCTCAGAAGTTAACAAAAAAATTAAGAAATATGTGTGTGATGCCTGTGCTTAATGAAAATAAACACTTGGTTTTTTTTTTTTTTTTTTTTTTTTTTTTTTTTGTAATTGAATTTTAATTTCCTAATAAAATGACCATTCTTAATGAATTTATTCTAAATAAATACTTAATAACTGTATTTTTAAGTAGGTACGACTTAAGCCATAAGTGGTACCACTCGGGACACTGGTTTTGTAAGTCGTACCTTTGCAACTTTTTAAAATTTAGATTAATTTACATGACATCACAAAGATTTTTTAGATTTGTTCTAATAAATAAAAACAATATTTACACTAGCATCAAATAGCAAATAAAATTTTTACATATTTGCTAAATACTCATTGTTATGCAGGTTTTTTTAAGGGGTACGACTTGAGCAGCCTTACCCTACATATAAAAAAAGACAAAATTAAATAACTAAAAAAATGTATTTTTTCATACTGGTTTATTGAATTTTTGCCAGCTCTTTACTTCAGGTTGAATATTTATCGGGTTTTAATAATTATTTTTTTATTTTTTCAATAAAAAAACATAATAGTACCTTGACTATTATAACATATGACATTTTCCTGTTTACTGAGAACTTGTTTCCAAACAATAAATTTACCACCTACTATTTTTACATGTAAGCTAGCAAACATTTTTAAACTTCATAATGTATGAGTTTACATTCCTTTTGTCTGTAAAAATCAAAAGTAGCTTGACACTCAGATAAAAAATATTTTTCATCTTGTTATAGTTAAGTTTCATTATAAATACAATTAAAAAGGAAAAAATATTAAGATTCTGTATTTATTTTATTAAAATGCCAAACTTAATGTTTCAAATAAATATGATTTTTATGCTTTATTTTATAAAAAAATATTGTTTTGTAGAGACATTAGGATTTTTTGGAAGCAAGAGAGATGAAAAATTGAATTAGATGAAAAATTCCTTCGCCGGGAATAGAACCTTGGACCTCTGAAATATGGGCTCAATCTGCTGACCACTACACCATGAAGGCATGCTAAGAAGGCGGGAGAAATAACTTATAATGTCCCCCTTTTAAAGGGCGACTGGAGTTTTTCTAAGGGACCCAATCGCCAAATCCTGGGTGGGAAGAAATCCCCATCCACCACCCTTTTAGCTCGAGCGCCACTGTAGAGATATTAGGATTTTTTGGAAGCAAGAGAGATGAAAAATTAGCAACCGCTTTCACCGGGAATCGAACCACGGACCTCTGAAATACCGGCTCTGTGTGCTGACCACTACACCACGATGGTATGCTAAGAAGGCGGGAGAAATACCTGATAGTTTCAACATTAAAATTATTATACTTTTATTTAATAAATCATCAGATTTTAAAGTAATTATTATGCTTGATTAATATAAACATTAAAATACAAATTTAGCTTTAATTCACCAATAGATTCTATACATAAGATATCCTATACTTGTAAGAAAACTTTGAGTTGCTTACCGACATGGTTATTGCTGTATAAAGTCTGAGATTGGACTCATCGGAACTTTGGCGATTCAAGATTTCAGAAATTTCTGGATTCTACACCATCAGTTTAAATGCAGTAAGATGACATGACAAGGCTAGGAGACTTATTGTTAAGGGTCAGGTAGAAAATGCCAACTCCCTTTTCCTCAAGCCAAAGCAGGTGCAACTAGCGCAGCCATAACTGGGTATCAGATTTTAGAAGTGGTGAAAATTTTAGAATTTAGAGGAGCACCAAGCAACAAAAATTATAGATGGCCGAATTTTTAGAATTTAGGAGAGGCACCGGGCAGTAGAATTAAGGGCCTGCAGAGATAGCGCTAGGAGGCAAAATGTGTAGGCCTTCTTTCCTTCCCCAATCACTCAAGTGTGAAAGTGTGATTCTAGCCAACACCAATACAGACACAGTCAATGCACTGTTGTCAATGCACTATTTGAAACCACTGTACAAATCACTAACCAGCAGGTGTTTAAAAATGACATGCAGGAATCTCAGTTAGTCAGGAGAAAAACTGCATTTATGGCATACCTGCCTCCTTTTGTTATTATGTTCTGTGTTCATAGACTTTGTTGGGGGATTTTTTATTATTGTTTTATTTGTTTTATTTTTTTTCCTTGTAAGTAATCTAGATATTAGATCATTTTGTATACTGGATGTCCATATTTAAACTTTGTACTGTATTTCTTCCTGCAATGTATGTTTTTATAAATATTTTCATGTGTTCATAATTCTAGAAAACATTTTGAATATTTGTTATGGTGGTACTTATTTAAAAGTACTAAGTTAAAAATTTCTGTATTTATATATTGTGCAAAGATCTTAGTTTGTCTGCAAACTTTGAAGAATCTTGTGTGTTTAATATTACAGGATGGACATGTAAATGTTTGTGGGCTTTCAGAAGAAGTTGTACAAAATTCTAATCAGGTCTTTGAGCTGATGAAAATATGTCAAAGTAAGAATTAACATTTTTAAATAGTGTGATTTTAGGCAGAAGATATTTTTTGAATAATGCATAAGCCAAACTGAATTTCAATATCTTTTTTAAAAAACTTTCTGTGAATAATTTTTTATGCATATTATAAAATGGGAATGTAACTGTTATATAGCATTCTTTTATTACAGATTTTGATTTTGCAAATTAAAAGTTGAAACCAAGTGATGAGAAGATTTAAAATTGTTCTTTTCTCGTAATAAGTTTCCAATTGTAATTATGTGCTTATCATATTGCTTGAAATATGGTAGCCAGTTAATATCACTTTGCAAATAGCTGTGTGATGACATCATTATAAGTAAGCAGGAAGCATGAACATCAATCCCGTAATTTTTGCTCTTAGGTTTTACAGATTTTTTTTTTGTTTGTTTGTTCAAAAGCTGATCTTTTTCTAGTAGCTATGAATTAATATGCAATGCAGTTTGGCTATTACCAACTGTCAAATAATCTTGATTAAATTCTTCCAAGACAAAGACATCATCCACGCTAAAACACTTTTTTAAAAGCCACAAAATAAAATTTCCTTTTACTGCTACAAAAGTACTGAAATGGCATTGCAATGAAAGGTCATGCCACATCAAAAACAATTTATGAAGTGGAAAGTGGTTTGAAATCTCATCATGCATTCCTTTTTAAATACCTGTTCGATTTATTTACTTCTGTTGTAAAGAATTCATGTCGGTAGAATTCTCTCAGCTGCAACTGGTGTCCGCCGATAACATCACGGCAAAAACACCGCGGACAAAAACGTCGCGGAGAAAACAACGTAAGGCGAAAACATCGTGGGAGAAAACAACGCAAAGAGAAAACATCGCAGTTCTAAAACATCGTGGTACAAAATATCGTCGTCGAAAATAAAGCGGTTAAAAAACTTCAGTTTAAAAACATCGTCGTTGAAAATATCGTGGTAAAAAATAAACTATCTACAAATCATCGCATGACCATAACATCGTAGACAAGCTTTATTCAGGCTTTAATAATTGTAAATGGGCATTCCCATAATGATTTGTGAGCGTAAGATGGAAAAAGGATAATTTTTACTTTCATAGTTTTTATTAACTAATAAATTTTTGCTGATAAAGTAAGAAGGAAACTTAAGCATAGAAAATTAATGCGACTTATAGCACTTAACAGAATTTTAAACCGACATAGTTAACTAGCAAAGGTCATTAATAAATTATTTTTATAAAGTTTTGACTACTAATTTTTCATGAAAAGTATAATCTAAAAAAGATTAGAAAAAGGAAGGTAAGTAACTGCATGAGCTTATCTATAAAAAAAATTGCTAACTTAATTGTGATTTATTTTCTTCACTTTTCTTAATCTAATACACTTATAATGAAAATTATTTTTTGTTTTGCTTCAGTTTATTCTTAAAGTGTTATTAAAGTTTTCATGCACAGCGTGCAGTCAGTTACTTGAATGTCGATTTGTTAGTTATGACGAAAGTCAGCTACATAATATTTTAGTTGGGTTTGAATTTACTAGATTATGCCAAAGCACACTACGGCTATCTGCTTAAGGGGTGGGATTCCTTTGTGGAGTACATTCTCAGGAACTGGTTCATATGCACATTATACTTTAGAAAAATCCCGAAAATCTTCATGCAGCTTTTTGTTTGTTCTTTTTTGTTTCTTAGAAATAACGTATACTTGCAGTGAACCTTCTTAGTAACTATCTCCCTAAGACGAACAGTGTTTTTGAGATCAATAAACATAGGTTTTGATCATTACGCAAGTTCAGCACATTCACACAAGATTAAAAAAATACAGAATTTTGAGTGGTCGCTTTAAATTGGATTGCTTAAATTTACTTTTAGATTTAGACATTTCTTATTAGCACTTTAAAAGTATTATTTAATTTTTCATATACATTTTATTCGAAAATTTCGTAGTTAATTACTGAACTTACAGTGACCAACTTCCTAAGACAATTTTAATGTTTTTCTTCGGTGTTTCTTAATTTTCAAAATATCTTAATTTATGCGCTCGAGAAATCTGTAGCGAAATTAATATTTCTGAGTGAGCTTCTATTTTGCGGCGATTCTTTGTCCTCAGAATTCTTTGCCTAGCAACTTTTAAGCGACTAATTTTTCTTGTAAATTTTTAATTAAAGATAAAATTTAATGAAACAAAGGCTTAATTACCCTTAAATTGTTTTCAAGGATTAAAAACTGCACACATTTTACACTGACTTTTGTTTTCAGTGACTGAAATGTTTCAAGTACAATTTTTTTTTTTTTTTTTTTTTTTTTTTTTTTTTTTTTTTTTTTTTTTTTTTGTATTTAAATGACAAACTGTTTGGAATCAGAAACTATGATATTTTTATGTATCATTTTAAATATTTTATAAACATATGATTTTGAATATCAACCATAATTAAATTTTAAAATCCGGATTCGCTTCATGCATGGTTATTTTTTAATTAAAATAATCAGAAAGAATATTTTTAAATAAAATGAAAGTATTAGTTTTCTATGTATTCAGCTGAAAGCATCTAACACATTTTGGAAAAAGATATCTTTAAGGAAGGCATGTTTTCCATAGTTTAAGTTTCAAATCAAACAAAAATATCTTTTTCATCTTTATATTTCGTGAAGTTAGCCATTTCTTATAGTTTAATATGCGTACTCTTTAATATACATGCAAGGCTTAATTAGTATGTTGGTTGTGATTCATACTATATATTAATACTTGTATTGTTTTGTTTTGGGGGGAGTACTGGTTTGCTCAGACTCCCACTTTTTTGTTCATTTTATTGGTGCAACATGTTTAATTTTTATATAGTGGCTATGGTGTGGGAGTGTGAGAAGTTGTATATAGTCCTTATTTATTTTAAATATTGTCCTCATTCATTTTTGTAGTCTTTATTATATCATATATTGTCCTTATATATTTTGGTAATAACCATAGTTTCTTACTGATCCTGTGACTCAATTATTTTAATGCATGTTATAGGTTAGTGCATATTTCCCACTGAAAATATATTATAAAACTCTATTAATATACGTCTTCAACATATTAAAAACAATTAATTCAAATAGACTCATGAATCTATGAATTTTTATGAGCAAAAATTTATAATTTTACATGTGATATAGTGCAGAATATCAAAAACAAAGATGTACAAGTTGTCAAAATATAAAATCATTAAATGAAAGGAAAAATACTTTTTTGAGGAGTTAAATACATTTGACAAATGGCATTTGGAGAAGATGATTTTGCTGCTTGAAATCTGAATAACTAAATACTGAGAAAATTTAAAAACATCTTAAATTGTTTAATCCTTTCAGTCCCAATTTATTTGTTTGTTTAAACTGACTTGATTTTTTTATGTATTGTTGGTAATTATCACAAATGATACAAATGAAATTGACATAAATTGGCAGTCTGTCACAAAGCCTCTATAAGAAGAGGCATTTTATAGTAGGCATGTTAGAAATGATGGCGACTACCAGTGGAACATCAACTATGTAGTAAATTGATGCGTGTAATTCCATCTAGGCTTCTTTAAACATCTACTGGGACTTATATAACCCATTGGAACTGAAAGGGTTAAGGGAAAGAATTAAATGCTATATTTCATCGCAATTAAAATTTTCAGAATATAGATTTATGAGTTTTTTACAAAAGTTCATTTTTTAATAAATGATTTTGTTTCCCATTTTATATTCAGTTATTTTATTCATAAAATGAATTTTTTTCTTTCATTAATAGTAGTATATATTTGTTTGAAAAGAGAAGTGAGAATCCGGGTTTGGCTGGAAACTGTAGTAATCTGTATGCAAGATGAAAACAATTAGGAACTTTCGGGAAGCTAACGCTTGAAGCTCTTATTTCTGAGAATTGCGTTGAAAAACAAGGTAAGCGGCTGAACTCAGGGGAAAGGGACGAAAACAGCTACTAAAAAGCTCGGGGGGAGGGACGAATTACAGCTAGGAGAGTCAACCGTTAGAACGAGTGTTTCAATCAAACTCAACTCCTGGGGATCTGTCTCCTCTAGGGCGCTTAAGGCTATTTGGTTAATAAAAGAGAGCTGAAAATTTCAGTCATTACTGATGATGCTCCACGTACAGAACAAAGGTAGCATTTCTTATCTTATTAGTATTTGTATGTTTTACAGCTTAAAGTTTAAAAAGAGAACCCAGAAAAGCTTAGTTTAGAATTTACCAAACAAGGAGCTCCTTGTTACCAAACATATTTAGACCGCCCTTCCTTGTTTGGTTTTGAATAAAGCCCTTTGCCTCTTTTGCATATATGTATTCATACATACATATTATTATGAACTGTGAAACTAAAACTAGTTAATTACAGAAGAAAAAAAAACTATAAGATTTGTAAAATTATTAAAACGGAAAGATACTTTTGTTTGATTTAAAATGCAAACTATAAAAATTAATATGCCTTCTTCCAAGATATCTTTTTTTCAATAGTTTAATGCGTAGAAGCACTAAATACTTTCATTTTATTGAAAAAAAATATTCTTTCTGATTAATTTAATTAAAAAAAAATAATCATGCAACGAAGCGAACCCGAATTTTAAAATTTAGTTATGGTTGATATTCAAAATCATATGTTTATAAAACATTTAAAATGATACATAAAAATATCATAGTTTCTTATTCCAAACAGTTTGTCATTTAAATACAAAAAAATTCTACTTGAAACGTTTCAGTAACTGAAAATAAAAGTCAATGTAAAATGTGTGCAGGTTTTAATCCTTGAAAACAATTTAAGGGAAATTAAGCTTTTATTTCATTAAATTTTATCTTTAATTAAAAATTTACAAGAAAAATTAGTCGCTTCATAGTTGCCGAGGACAAAGAATCACCGCAAAATAGAAGCTCACTCAGAAATATTAATTTCGCTACAGATTTCTCGAGTGCATAAATTAAGATATTTTGAAAATTAAAAAACACCGAAGAAAAACATTAAAATTTTCATAGGAAGTTGGTCACTGTA